AGTAGTAGGAGATCTCACACCTATTGGCATGGTGATGCCAAAGCAATCACTCGTGTGATTTATGTTAGAGAACATGTCACCGGATTTGACTTACCATGAGAACCCATTTGGTTTAAGTCTATGAGAATCTCATACGAGATGGGTACAAATGGTCCTTAGACTTGAAGTCATTACGATTATCTCATTTGAGGACTTATGCACTTTGACACTTGTTTTGATAGACCCATTAATGGGTTACACGTGGATGATTCGTTGGGTGCACTAAAAATCCAATAGAGATTGGTGTATGACTAAGATAGGACATCTTATTCCTTGTATGCTAAAGGAGTTATCACATTGCACTTCGATAAATGTCCGCTCAAGAAATCTGTGATCATAGTAGGAGTACACCAATAAAGCATAGTTAGTTTACTCTAAGAGCTAAGACATTTGGAATCGAAGAAAACTTATGTGATCATAATCAAATAAGACTAATAACCAAGTTTAAGATCACACCGTGATAAGTTGACATGAGAACTGAATTGTATGATAACCATACTCTTATGCCAAGTATTAGCGAGAAGCATTTTATGGATGATTTTTAGATCGTCGTAAAACCATCGCTAATGAAATTTAGTGACGGTTTTGAGGGAAGTAACGATGGTTTAGACCATCGCTAATTCATATTATTCTAGTAATGAGGGATGAGCTTAAGATAGGAAAAAAATAATTTGTAAATATAAAGAAACAATTATGATGAAAATGGTACACTCGGTTCCGATTGGTCCGATAAAAAAATGTGCCCATCTCTAAGAGACTCATGTGTAAGTCTTCGTTTATGAAAAGCATAAAGCTCGATGGGATCATTTCGTGTATTTTGCATAATGTGAAGCAAGAAATGTCATGTTGTCGAGAGTTGATTCAGCTTTTGATCTTACATACATAGGTGTGTAAATTAACGATAAAAATAGGCATCGACAATGATGTTCAAGTTCCGTCATCTTGTGAGATTGAGTAAAAAATTTATAGTTCCCGGCATATTTTGAGTTATCCATGTCGACTTTCTTGTACACTATTTCATTGATGTTCCTTATTTTTGTCATTCGTAGGTGGATGTAGAATGTGTGGAACCCATTTTTCATTGGACTAATTATTCCTCTATGTTCAATTATAGAAATTTAAGCACAAGAATTATGTTTTGCATATTTTTCATATTTTACCAATGAACTTTGGCTATTAGGTCCTACTATCTCTATTGCTAAAATTCAATAAAATTTGTTCAAGGAAGCTTTCAAATCCTATCGAAGACTCCTTGAAAAGCCATGCTAGCTTAGCGTTATTAGGAGACCGTAAAAGCTACTATATCCCATAACTACTTTAAAAGGAAAGAGTTGTTCAAAGATCGTGAATATTCTCTCGCATTGCAATTTCTATCCACTTACTATCCAAATATCCGAGGCCTAGACAATTTTGAAAAAAAAAAGATGACAATGCACTACAAGAACAATGGTAGTTAGCGACGTAAAAATCTATCTCTATAAAGGGAAATTCCATTGCTAAATGCTTTTAGTGACAAATTTACGATCGAAAAAAATCCTTTGCTAAAACGGTTGTCACTAACCCTTGCAACGGACGAACATAATTTGACGCTAATGTAGAGACATTTTTTCTGTTGCTAATTGGTCACCGAAAACGTTTTCACACCTAATAATGCGTCGCTATTCCGTCACAATTTTCATTGTTAAATACAAAAAATTACAATGTTAATCCCTTACCAAGTTTACTTCTTTTTTTAATTGATAAATTTATTTATTTATTTATTTTAGTTTTTAAATTTGTGATATTCTCGGTAGTAATTAAGAATCGAACAAAAAACATATTATTAAAATTTAAATATTATAAATTAAATTTAAATTAATATTAAAAAAATATTCATTAGTACCTAAGAAAAAAGAAAAACAAATAAAAAAAAGAAATGTCACTCTTGATCATCTAATCCCCTCTCCTACTTTTGGGGCTCCTCTTTCTAGGGATTGGTAGGAAGGACAAGTAGAGTCTTGACTAGTGGGCGAATCTATAGACAGCTCGAACTTTAATGCCGATCTATTTAACATCGAGGCAAGCGACTCATACCGAGACTGCAGATCCTTGTATGGTACTCGTTCGTCGTATGATAATGTTTTTCAGCTCATCTTGTTTGGAGTATATTCTCTACACCACCTCCTCGTACGCCCTCCGAATGTCCTCATAAGAAATGTCGGCGGTATAATGCAATGACATGGAGGATGAGCTAGCACCACTTGACTAGAATAGATAATGTGACGCTTACGTGCCTACACCATATAGCCTTCTCTTCTTCTCTCCTATAGTCTCAATGGATATATGGCGTTCTTGTCCATTTGTGGATTCGGGATTCCTTCCTCCCGTCGTTTCACAATAGCTTCTCGTATGAGATCGTCAACATGCTCTTACGTAATCAAAATAATTATAACGTTAAATGATTAAACAATTTTTTAGATTATATTTGCATGTATAAAATTTAACAATTAAAAACACTTATCATTGTATACTTGGATGCGTGTCAAAGAGCCATCTTATCTCTTGTGAGTGGCCTCAAAAAGAAAAATTTAGGAATTTAATAGATTAGGCCAATTTGATTATTTCTTATATATAATGAATATTTTAAATAAATCCAAAATCTAGTAGTTAATTTGAAAAAAATTAAAGACATAAACTAGTTTAACTTAATCTAAGGTAATTTATTTTAATAATTAAATGAATTTTTATAATGTAAGTTTTTGATCATATTTTAGGATTTTTATTTTTAATTAATGATTGATTAAATTAAGGTAATGAAATTATTTTTATAAAAGTAATAGGACACTTATGTGAAGCTCACATTTAAGGTTCGACATGGACTAGGGTTTTAGCCCAACATTAGTCATCTAGTACTTGTTTATAGATATGCTAATTGGGCCAAAATATTTTTTTATAAAGGCCTAGATCATTGATTATGTTTCAGTAATCAGGCATGTTCCGCTTAAAAGATTTCAAGTATAACTTTATAGAAAAAAAAATGTTTGTGCATCTGTATTATTATTTATGTGTCCCAAATATTTTTTTTTTTGAAATTGGGATACAAAAATAACTCATTAATTGCTAGATTATTACTATGAAATTATAAGAATAAAAAAAAACTTAATAAAATTATTAGTGGAAATATGTAACTGTTGATGGTGTATTATTTTTTATATGTATTTCATTTTATTTTGAAAAAAAATATTTTTTTAATACAAACAGATTGTGCACCATGTACTAGAGTTACATATAAAATAAATTAATGAAACTTTAAGATCTATAAATAGCTTTCGGTCCAATGGAACGCTTGTTTCTTGATACTCTTTGAATGTTATGGCTTTAATTTAATTCAAATGCTAATTAGAATTTAAATATCAATTAAACCAATTGGAGTATAATTATATTAAAAATCAATCAATAAAAATAACAATAATTAAATTAACCCTAAATCAAATTAACTTAATTAAATTAATCATAGCTAATTACATTAATCCTAATTCAAATATTAATTAAATTTGAAAATAACAACTAAAAAATTAACAAAATTAAAATAATAACTTAAAAATAAAAAATAAAAAATAACAAATTAACAATTAATATGAGCAAATGGTGTACCATAGAGTTATGGGTGTTACATAGAGTAAATTATAAATTAGTCCTTTTAGTTTCAAAAAACAAATTAATTAGTTTTTTTTTTCAAAAACTATTATTTAATCTTCTAATCAATGTTTATTATGTTTAATTTAATATTATTTTATTTCACAATCTTATTTTCTCATCAATCTTTTCATATTTTTTTATTTTTTCTATTTCTTAAAATGAAAAATCAAAATAAATCAAAAAAGAGTAAAAAGAACTAAAGTACAACAAAATTTAAAAACTTTGACACTAATTATCAGGTTCTTCTCACAACCCTATCTTTCACACACACAAATTGTATGTGCTGTTTTTTTTTTTTTTTTTTGGGAACAACTATGCAATGTTGGTTCTTAGTGTTATTATGTCTAGTTTGAGGCAAAGGCTACTGTTTTTCCAAAGGTTTTAACCTTATACAAGAAGAACTCTAGTACTTCAGAAGTGCTCAAGTCTTTATGATTTGATTTTTATGTCTAGCTTCATGCTAAGGCAATCATTTGTGTAAAGTCATGAAACTGTTGAGTGGTATTGAGAAAGTTGTGTATAAACTTTAATAGAACATTCTGTGAAAAGCATTGTAGTCCTAAATCGAAAGGCATTGCAAATCTTGTGACAATTGTGATGCCAATTCCCTAGAATTTAGTGTGGTTTTGACGATTTATTCACTGAATTCTGAAAACACACCATACGAATTCTGGAATTAGGTAATTGCATTATCGAATAAAATTGAATTAGAATGCTGGGACTGAAGTCCCAAAAAAGTAGTGTCTTCTACCTTCTTGGACAATAACCCCAAATCTGGATTTTTCTGATCAATTTTCTTATAATATTGCAAAAGACAATAGTAACAATGCAACAGTTTTCAGGTCCTTCAAGAATTATGTAGATCGGGTACTCTTTTATCATGGAGGGCGAATTATACGAAAATGCGTTTTCAAATGCTTTACCGAAGATGTTTCCCCATATATTTATGTGCTGTGACAGCTTGTAACGCGCAAGAATTAATAATTGAAACTAGTTCCTGCAATCTTCAACATCTGCCTTGGAGAAATTTTACTTGCAAAACTTTGGTGGTTTTAAGACTTAACACGACGTTTGTCCTAGATTTGCCTATGAATATATTTTTTCCATGCCTTGACACCCTCGGTGTTGCTCATGTTGTGTATGTTGATGATTCTTCAATGCAAAGGCTCTTTTCTAGCTGCCCTATCCTTGAAAACTTAGCTATGAGAAGAGATGGATGGGATGGTGCGTGAATTATGAATATTTCTGTGCCATCATTGAAAAGATTGTCTATATTTTCAGAAATGCATTACTTGGAGGATCATAAGCACAAGACTGAGATTGATACCCCATGTCTTGAGTATTTCCAAATCAAAGACACTTCACTGTGTAATTCTTCCATGAGTGTTTCATCCGCTCTATTCGAAGCACATATTTATGATAATTGCCTACCTTGGCTTCTCAATGGAATCTCCCAAGTTGAGCTTTTAGTACTATCTGGCGATACTATGTCTGTATGCTTGGTTCATATTCTGAATGGCTATATTTTGCTTGACGTTGAATATCATTGATTGCTGTTTTCTTTTTCCCTACAATGTCATCATGGACTCTATACCATCAATGCTTTCGTTTTTTGTAGTCTGTCAATGCTATTGTTTGTGATTCTACTCTGCCCACATTCCATTATCTTACCAAACTAGTGCTATATGTTGGTGAGTTTATAAACTGGGAATCCCTGCCAGACTTGCTTGAGAGCTCTCCTAATCCTGAAATTCTCGTATTTCCAGCCAAGTGTTTGCTCTCAAGTCTGAAGACAATTGAAATTAATAACTTCGTGGGAATGTCTGGCGAGAAATATATTGTAGAATATTTGCTAGTCTGCCGAAGTTTTGGAGGAGATGATAATCCGAGGTTGCAAATTTTTTGGAAGGCCAAGAATGCAGAAGAAGCTAGAGGCTCTTAGGAATGAGATATTAGACTTCCCAAGAGGTTCTAGTCATTGTGAACTTATTTTCACAATGTGAAGAAGTAATGTTGGTGCTCCATCCTTTGGAAAGATATATATTAACCATTCTACGGCCTCATTTTCTGGTAAATGTACGATGTGGAAATATTTGCCTTCTCTTTTTGCTGTTGTATACCATCTGAAATCACTTGTTCAAATGATGTTTTTGATGCTGCTTCTGCAGTTACAGTGGTAATATGTGCTAGTAGAAAATTCGTATCACTGCAGTCGTAGATAATTGTTTGATTGTTTGTGTAAAATATCTTAACTCCTCTGTTTTGACCGTCAAGTCGCTTTCAGCCTCTGGTTTTGCATCGCTTATTGCTGCTGTGAAATTTACAATTTGCTCTGTTTATCCTTGCTAGTGGAGACTGAATTTTTAGGATTCTCATATTAGCATTGACTTGCAGGAATGAGAGGGAGATTTGGCTACAAGAGAATAAGCTAGAAGGGCAAGAATGTGAAAAAAAAATGGTTGGTAGGATGACTTTAAAGTTCGTTCCAGCACTTGGAGTGATTCCATGCTCTATCTTTTAAAGGGATATCAAGTCTGAACTCTAAAGTCCCATTCTCTGGCACGTGTATGTTTTTGCCCTTCTTTTTCTAGACTAGGTTCGAAGTTCGCTGTGTATCTTTCTTACAAATTCTCAGAAAACATCATCCTTTCCTACCTTGAAGCACTTGTGTTATATATATCTTTTGATCTTTTCAGAGGCTTGACATCAGTCAATTACTTGGTTTTTCCACTTATTATGGTAAGTAATTTGTACCAGGTAAGTGAGGTTTCTAATTGTCAAATACGATGAAAACCTCTAGTGGGAAATTTTCTGATTTGCTCCTGTAGTGGATATCCTTCCTTAAAGTACTTTGATTATCTGATTATGTCATTAACAATGTCATAAAGAAAAAGCCTTTATGAGGGAATGACGTCTTTCTACAGCAAGGCTCATCACTCATGTGCTATATATATATATACTCATTTGGAGCTCTAAAATTCAAATGTAACTTCATTTTTTAACCTTCGCTGTTTCTCATTTGGAGCAAGAGATCTGAGCTTACGGATTCTAGTATTTTTCTTTTCTGCATTAATGTGGCAAAACTCAGTGAGCATGCATTCAAAAAATTTAGTGAGGACATCTCAAAAGTTATCCACCGATTCCACTTATTTTCAAGGATATATTGACTACGAGAGGATGTTTACTTGATATATAAATTTAAACAACATACTTTTATGGAAGTTCTTTCTGCAAATACAGTATATATTCATAATTTGGGTAAACTCTTCAGAGAGTGAAGATGAATTTCCCATAACCAGTGATGACACAAGTTATTTCTTAATAAACCATAAAGAAAGGCTGTTAAGGGCACCTATGAATTTGATTCCAAAAATTATAAGAAATCCACTAATCAAACACAAAATAACTACAAAAATAAGAAATAAATGACAAAATGTCTGCTAAATGAGAAATAAAGCATAACATTACTGAAAACAGAATTATGAATATAACCCTTACATGTACCTTCGAGATTTAAAAGATGACAGCATTAACTTTGCTTGTTCTGCCATCAATTCTTGCCGCTTCAAAAAGAACTCCAACTCAGCTACCCGCAACTCTCTCCACTTCTCCTTCATCTCCGCCTTCTTCCTCCCATGCACAAAATCCAATCCCCTCCTCGCAACATAATCATCCATTCTTTTATAAAACTCCGAATCCTTTTGGACACTTGAATCTCTCTCCATCTCACCTTCCATTCTGTCCTCTCCCACATCATTATCCGACCCTGATTCCGATTTGGACGCAGAATCAGATTGTTGAGTCGAGTGTTCGGGATTTTTAGGGGTTGACTTTTGGGTTCGAGTGGTTTTCGTTTGTGGTTGATGAGGAGAGGGTTGATTTTGTTCATCATCAGATATCCCTTCCTCTTCACCACTGGAAGTTTCTTCCTCTTCTTCTTCGTTAGAGCTATAAGAAGAGGGTGGATCTTCAACGGGAGGGGGCGTTTTGGTGCCATTAAGAAACAGAGAGTTAGGGTTTCGAAAGAGAGTTTGATTAGCAGCAGCAGGGTGAGTCTTTGAGAGAAGACAGAGAGCCGGCCCTAAACAAATAATAACTAGTGAGAAACCTTTAAATTCCTAGACCCTATATATATATAATAACTAGTGAGAAACCTTTAAATCCCTAGACCCTATATATATATATATATATATATATATATATATATATATATATATATATATATAGTAAAAAGATCATTAATTAATACATGTTTTCAATAAAAAGAGAATAATATTTTAAAATATCATAAATTTTAATTTTAATAAATACAAATAAAAAGTATTTTTATTCTGATTTGGATATATATATATATATATAAGTAAAACAGATAATTAATTAATACATGTTTTCAATAAAAAGAGGATAATATTTTAAAATAAATTGAATTTAAATGTTAATAAATACAAAGAAAAAGTATTTTTATTCTGATTTGTATTTTTAATTTTTTTATGTAATTAATTTTTTTATTAGGGTTTGCTGATCTAAAATGGTATTAGATGCATATAAAAAAACATAATCATTAGAAGAACGACATGTAAAATTAAATACTCTTTTAAGTAAAAAGTAAAAGAATAAAAAAGCCCCAAATTCAAATTAAAAAAAATAATAAAAAACCCTAACTCTTTGGTAAAATCTAATTGAAATCCTTAATACTAATGTAACAAAATCTATAACACAAAATCTTAATTTTCCACAATTGTTAAAAGGATCTATTTATTTAATTATTAAGTTATTCAAATATTTAGAGCTCGATCATCGACACTTCAAAAGGGTTAATCACATCAAATGTTCTTCTATTTATTTTCTTAATATTGCCTCTTTGATTATTTTTTGACTAATTTTTTGATAAAAAATGGCATCTGACCAAAAAATTACCACATGACAGGATGTGTCACATTAATATCATGCAGAAAAAAAATAAAATAAAAAAATGAGCTGAAAAAAATATAATTTTAATAGTAAAAAAAAAAAAAACACAAATTGATTACTCCATGAGTGTTTTGGCCTTTTTAGTTGAATCACATATTTATAGTAGATGCTTGTCTAGGCTTCTCAATAGAAACTCTATCTGGTGATGCTATATTGGTATGCATGTGAACATTACTCCTATCAATGTATTGAATTTAATTATTAAATATTTTCCCTATTATACAATCCATGTTAATTTGCATTACCATTGGTTATCTTCGTATAATCTCTTTATGCTGTTGTCTGTGATTCCATGCTACTGAAACTCGATAATCTTATCAAGCTGGTGATTATATTAACTGGAAAGTTCATTGTCAGCTGACCAGAAGTGTAAGGGTTGGGAAAGGAGTGAGAATAATCCCGTAACATTGTCAAGGTTTAGAGAATGGATTTTGTTTTGTCCCATTGATTTCAACCTTAATCATGTTGATAGAGCTTGACACCTTGATTTGCTTGATAGTGAATTTCACTCTTCTATTAGTTTTTCACTTCAAACAGCAAGGGTATTTCTTCCATGACTTCAAGTTACCATGATTATTTGTTTTGTAACTGAATAATGCAAACAAACGCACTTTACTTATTTTTCCGTAACAAAAAAATATATACTTTTTTAATTTGACTTGAAAATAGAAATATAAATTTTGTTAGTATTGTACTCAGCACCAACAAGTTCTTAAATTCGTAACAAAATTTAACACACTATCTGGGCTGAACCAACCCAATATAAAATTGGTACAACCGTGCAGTAAAGTCCAAAATCCGCCTAACTCTCAAACAAATATAACGGCTCTACCTGGTACCTTCAGATTCTCAAACACAGCAAAAACTGTCTCTCTCTCTTTCTCTCCATTCACAGACTAAAGAAAGAAACGATGAAACAAGAAAAGACTCCATCTTTCTTTCATTTTCTCTGATTGAAGATCGAAGAAGAAGAATTTCAAGAAGGTCAACAAAACCCAGTTTCATTTTCTAAAATGCAAGATCAAGTAGAACTAGGAAGCCTTGGCGTGAATCTTGATGCTTGGCAAGATCATTATTCCTTTAATGATTGGCTATATTCTTCTTCGCAACAAAGCTGGTATGGAACCTCCCTTATTGGTACTGTTACGAGTTTAGTTAAAGGCATCGGGGGAGCTACGGTATTCAAAGATGATGAATTGCTTGCATTGGTACGTTATGCAAAAAGCCCTCATGAGGACAACGATATAAAGGTTTTCAATTCTAGTTCTATGGAAGTGGGTTACCTTTATAGTCGAGTTGCTGTAATTTTGCCTCCTTTACTTGATGCTCACAAGATTATTCTTGAAGGTGAGGCGGCTAATTCAAAAATAGAATGTAGTTCTATTATTTGTCGAGTGAGGATCTTAGCAAAGACAGATGATTTATAAAGGGTAAAATATGATATTGTGGCAGGGGAGTTGGAACTATATGATGAACTTGATACAAAGTTTTGGGCATTATGGGGGTATGAGGGTTGAAGAATAGGGAAAATATGGACTTTGGAGCCACCAAAGGAGGTGATTGAAGCTAACTTCTTGATCATCAAAAGGAGGGGTTGTGGTGGCTGGTGGATAAAGAGAAGTCTGATGAGTTGCCACCTTTTTGGGTCATCAGAAAGGATCGTTTAATTTATTTTCCTTGATTGCCTTTCTGCCTGTTAGAGCTACTCGATCTCTATAAAAGGATACTGGCAATGCACTTGCTGAAGGGGATAAGAAGGGGTTTTTTCGACCGCAGGTAATAACATACAGCTGATTGTATTTGATTTCTGTACTGTTAAAAGTTGTGTCCACCCCCTAAGGTATTGACAATTGAAATTAGGATCACAGTATCTAGGATCTCTTGTACATCTCCACTGAATGCTTTATGATTTTCTTTACAATAATTTCAGGTTTTAATGGCAACCATTTATTTACAGAGAACAAAAGACAAGGTTATAGTTTGATTGCCATCGAAAACTGTACAGACAGTTCCCTTTCAACTTTCTAGAGAAGAATGTGAACGTTATGATCAGATGGAAGCAGAATCAAAGCTTGTTGTAAGAAAGTTAATTGGTTCTGATAGACCAAACAATAGCTATTCCTCTGTACTATGTACAGTCTTATGACTTAGCCAGTTATGTAATGGTTCAGCATTGTGTTCTTGGGATATCAGATCATTGCTCCTTTCTGATAATATCAGAGGTATAAGAGAGTTCTTTCTACTTGTTAGTATTTTTCTTCCTTTTGGTCTTTGCAATTTTAATTGCTTGGAGTACACTGAAAACATCTACAGTTATTTCAAATTTTGGTAGTACTATTTCCTAATAGTATGGTTATAGCGCACTTACCATTTGAACTTGATTCTAAGCAGATGCATTTGAACACCCAGAATTGCTTAAAAAGATGCTTGGTGTGCTTGGACCTGATGAAAATTTTGACTATGCCCATTTTGTCATCGTCTGCCTTGTTCTTAGCCCCTACTGAATCTTTCGATCCTAAAAACCCTAATAAATCCTAGAAGAAGAACTCCTTCCAAAGTCTCAGCTCTGACAAGACACCTAAAGGATGAAAACTCAACCAGTAAATTAATAGGTTTTTCACTATTCAATAAGATGTTGGTATTAGTAGAAGAGCCACTGAAAGATACTGGCTCCAATACCTTGCGATTGGATGCATCAACAGATGTAAGGAGCACCGCTGAAATAATCAAGGAATTTGGTGCAACAAGACCAGACACAGTTCTGCTTGCGAGTCTTCAGAGTTTAGGAGGTAGCATAAACCTGACAGCTGCTTCCTAAGTCTACTTGTTGGAGCCATGGTGGAACTCAGGAGTTGAGGAACAGGCAATAGTCCTTGTTCACCAATATGGACAGCCGGAGGATGTAGAGATTATTAGATTGATTGCTGAAAATATTAGAGATGCAGAAGAAGAAACAAGAAAATGAAGCTTCTTGAAGGTAGGGACCAAAGGAACGATGCGAAGTGAGCTTAGAACAAAATCTATAACACTAAATCTTAATTTTCCATGATTTTTAAAGCATCCATTTATTTGATTATTAAGTTATTGAAACTTTTAGAACTCGATCATCCACACTTCAAAAGGGTTAATTGCATCAAATGTTCTTCTTCTTCTTCTTTTTTTTCCTTAATATTGCCTTCTAGATTATTTTTCGACTAATTTTTTTGATAAAAAATGACATCTGACCAAAAAATTACCACATGTCATGCTGTGTCACATTAATATCATGTGGAGAAAAAAGAAATAAAAAAAATGAGCTGAAAAAAATATAATTTTAATATTAAAAAAAAAAACACACACACACACACAAATTAATTACTCCATGAGTGTTTTGGCCTCTTTAGTTGAATCACATATTTATAGTAGATGCTTGTCTAGGCTTCTCAATAGAAACTCTATCTGGTGATGCTATATTGGTATGCATGTGAACATTACTCCTATCAATGTACTGAATTTAATTTGCATTACCATTGGTTATCTTCATATAGTCTCTTTATGTTGTTGTTTGTGATTCCATCCTACTGAAATTCGATAATCTTATGAAGCTGATGTTATATGTTGGTGACTATATTAACCAAAGGATGACGTTTTCATGGGTTCTATTGGCATCAGCCAAAGGAAGACCTGATTGTTTGATCTTTAGTCTGAAGACAATTGAAATCATCTCCTTTGTGGGAATGCCTGGCGTGGCGAGGTAAATATATTATAGAATATTTGCTCTCGTCTGAAGATAATTCAAGGATATGATTTTTCTGCTACGCCAAAGAAGAGAAAGGAGCTGGAGTTGCTTAGGATGAGATATCGAAGTTCCCAAGAGGTTCTAGTACTTGTGAAGTTATTTTCTGAATTTAATGTTTTAGACTTTGTAGTAATTTTGTGCGTCATCTTTGAAGGGGTAGCAGGGATATCAAACTATCAATTCTAAGAAATATTTGTCTTGGCCCTTCATATTCAGACTAGGTTTGAAATTACTGTGGTATCATTTCTAAGAAAAAATCGTACTTTTTTTCTGGAATATTTGCCTTCTCTTTTTTCTGTTTTATTGCGATTTGATATTGCTTGTTAAATGGTGTTTTTGATGATGCTCTTGTTGCTATATATCAAATGTAGTATGTTCTTGTAAAATTCATGTGATTACTCTGACTGAGAAGTGAGCTATTGATGGAGTGAAGTATCATAATTTGTTTCTTTTTGAATTTTAAATGATCTCAGCCTTTGTAATTTGGTTGCTGCAGCTAAATTTAGATTTCATTTTTTGATCTTTAAGTGGTCATTGAACTTTCAAGGTTCATATGAAGCCATCTTCAGATCTTAGGACTTAAGAGCGAGCTGTTCTACCCACATTGCAGATTTTTTTTCCGCTTTACAATCATAAAATGGAAAGAGTTTCTCTGGGGGAAAAAAAGAAAAAAAGACAAAAACTCCACAGAGGTCATCTATGCTCACCTCGCGTCATTCCTTTGGTCCTTGCCTTCAAGAAGCTTCATTTTCTAGTTTCTTCTTCTGCATCTCCAATATCCTTTCTTCAATGGTATTTTCAGCAATCAATCTAATAATCTCTACATCCTCTTGCTGTCCATATTGGTGAACATGGTCTATTGCCTGTTCCTCAACTTCTGAGTTCCACCATGGCTCCAACAAGTAAACTTCGGAAGCAACTGTCATGTTTATGCTACCTCCTAGACTCTTAAGACTTGCAAGCAGAACTGTGTCTGGTCCTGTTGCATCAAATTCTTTGATCATTTCAGCAGTTTTCCTTACATCTGTTGATGCATCCAATCGCAAGGTATTGATGAAGCCAGCGTCTTTCAGCAGCTCTTCCAGTAATACCAACATCTTATCAAATAGTGAAAAAACTATTAATTTACTGGTTGAGTTTTCATCCTTCAGGTGTTTTATCAGGGCTAAGACTTTGGAAGGAGTTTTTCTTGAGGATTTATTAGGGTTTTCAGGATCGAAAGACTCAGTAGGGGCTAAGAACAGGACAGGCGACGACAAAACAGGCAGACTTGCTTGGATTTGGTATGTTGAAGGCATTTGGAAATGTTGACCTATGGGTGCTCTCTGCCTGAGAGGTTTTGTAGCCTTTTTGGCTCCTGTGAGATTTAGAATTTGCTCCTTTCTAATTGTCAAATATGATGAAATCCTCTAGTGGGAAATTTTCTGATTTGCTCCTGTAGTGGATATCCTTCCTTAAAGTACTTTGATTATCTGATTATGTCATTAACAATATCATAAAAGAAAAAGCCTTTATGAGGGAATGATTTCTTTCTACAGCAAGGCTCATCACTCATGTGCTATATATATATATATATATACACTCATTTGGAGCTCTAAAATTCAAATGTAACTTCATTTTTTCCCTTAGCTGTTTCTCATTTCGAGTAAGAGATCTGAGCTTACAGATTCTAGTATTTTTCTTTTCTGCATTAATGTGGCAAAACTCAGTGAGCATGCATTCATAAAATTTAGTGAGGACATCTCAAAAGTTATCCACCGATTCCACTTATTTTCAAGGATATATTGACTACGAGAGGATGTTTCCCATAACCAGTATATATTCTAAATCTGCAAATACAGTATATATTCATAATTTGGGTAAACTCTTCAGAGAGTGAAGATGAATTTCCCATAACCAGTGATGACACAAGTTATTTCTTAATAAACCATAAAGAAAGGCTGTTAAGGGCACCTATGAATTTGATTCCAAAAATTATAAGAAATCCACTAATCAAACACAAAATAACTACAAAAATAAGAAATAAATGACAAATTATCTGCTAAATGAGAAATAAAGCATAACATTACAGAAAACAGAATTATGAATAGAACCCCTACATGTACCTTCGAGATTTAAAAGCTGACAGCATTAACTTTGCTTGTTCTGCCATCAATTCTTGCCGCTTCAAAAAGAACTCCAACTCAGCTACCCGCAACTCTCTCCACTTCTCCTTCATCTCCGCCTTCTTCCTCCCATGCACAAAATCCAATCCCCTCCTCGCAACATAATCATCCATTCCTTTATAAAACTCCGAATCCTTTTTGATGCTTGAATCTCTCTCCATCTCACCTTCCATTCTGTCCTCTCCCACATCCATATCCGACCCAGATTCTGATTTGGACTCAGATTCAGATTGTTGAGTCGAGGGTTCGGGACTTTTGGGGGTTGAATTTTGTTTTCCAGTGATTTTCGTTTGTGGCTGATGAGGAGAGGGTTGATTTTCTTCATCGTCAGATACCTCTTCCTCTTCACCACTGGAAGTTTCTTCCTCTTCTTCTTCCTCAGAGCTAGAAGAAGAGGGTGGATCCTCAACGGGAGGTGGGCGTTTTGGTGCCATTAAGAAACAGAGAGTTAAGGTTTCGAAAGAGAGAAGACAGAGAGCCGGCCCTAAACAAACGATAAATAGTGAGAAACCTTTAAATCCCTAGACATATATATATATATATATAAGTAAAAGAGATAATTAATTAATACATGTTTTCAATAAAAAGAGGATAATATTTTAAAATAACACGAATTTAAATTTTAATAAATACAAAGAAAAAGTATTTTTATTCTGATTTGGATTTTTAATTTTTTTTATGTAATTACTTTTTTATGTAGGGTTTGCTAATCTAAGAAGATATTAGATGCATATAAAAAAACATAACCATTTGAAGAACGACATGTAAAATTAAGTATTCTTTCAAGCAAAAATAAAATAATAAAAAAAGCCCCAAATTGAAATTAAAAAAAAAATCAAAACCCTTAACTCTTTGGTAAAAGCTAATTGAAATCCTCAATACTAATGTAACAAAATCTATAACACTAAATCTTAATTTTCCACGATTGTTAAAGCATCCGTTTATTTAATTATTAAGTTATTGAAATTTTTAAAACCAAATCATCCGCACTTCAAAAAGGTTAATCGCATCAAATGTTCTTTTATTTTTTTATTGTTGCCTCTTCAATTATTTTTCGACTAATTTTTTTAATAAACAAATGGCATTTGACAAAAAAAAAAAATTACCACATGTCATGCTATGTCACATTAATATCATGTGGAAAAAAAAAGAAACAAAATCAGAAAAAAAAATTAATTTTAATATTAAAAAAACACAAATTAATTACTTTCTCTCTCTTCCTTCTCTATTTCACATTAATATCATCGATTAGGTCTGGATCGTCACCTCTTGTAGTCTTTCACTTTTATATTAATACACTCCACGGTATCACCCTCGCTCCTAAATAAATAAATAACTTTTTTGTATTTATAATTAATATTTTATAGTTAATATTCAATGAAAAATAAATATCAAGTCTATATAAATATTAAATTTTATTATAATTCTCATACATAGTTAAATATAAATAATCAAAATAGAAATCCAATGGCTAATTTATTTTAAAAAATTAATTAGTCAAGAAATACATGTTATGAAAGACCAAAAACAATTCTTTATATATCTAAAACAGGTGATGGTTTCACTGTTCCAATGAACAATATGAACAGTGAATCATCACATGGGTACTTGTTTATTTGATTTTTTTTTTTTTTTTTGCTTGAGTTTTTTTTTCCCTTCTTTTTTTATTTTCACTCTTACTTATTTTCTTAGTTTTTTTTTTAATTTTTAAATTTTTTTTTTAATTTTCACCCTTAGTTTTTTTTTTAGGTTTTTTCAAAATTTTTTAATTATTTCATTTTGATCCCTAAGATTTTAAAATAAAAATTTTAATCCCTAGCTAATGCACTATATGCATTTTTTTTTCTTTGGTTTCTTTTTCTTTATCAATTTATGTTCTTTTTTTTATTTGATTGAATGTTAAAATTTTTAAAATTCGATTATTATTTTTTTCTAAACAAGCCGATGATTTACTTTACCCTCACACTATACTACTTATTATTTGTTTTTTTTTTTTAATTTTCACTATTACTTTTTACTTATTTTCTTACTTTGAAAAAAAAATTACTCTTATTATTTAAAATTTGTTTCTTCACTTATTTGGTTCTTATTAAAATTCTAATCAAATTAATTTTTTGATATAATTTTATTTGTTAATAAAATTTTAGAACGTCGGTGTTTTTTAAAATATATTATTATAGTTTATGCAATAAATTATTTTTATGCTTTTTAAATGAGTGTTTTATTTTTAAAAATATATTATTATAATTAGAATGAACAATAAATGAAAAGTGAACCATCACATGGGTACTTGTTCATTTGAACCTTTTTTTATTTTTTTGCTTGACTTTTTTTCCCCTTCTTTTTTAATTTTTACTCTTATTTATTTTCTTAGTTTTTTTTTTAATTTTAAATTATTTCATTTGTTTTTCATTTTAATTTTCACCCTTAGTTTTTTTTTCCTTAGGTTTTTTTTTAAAAGTTTTTGAATTATTTCATTCGATCCCTAAAATGTTAAAATAAAAATTTTAATCCCTAGCCGATGCATTATATTTCTTCTTTTTTTCATCAAGTTATGTTTTTTTTATTTAACTAAGTTTTAACATCTCTAAAAATTGATCGTTATTTTTTTCCAAACAGTGATGATTTATTATACCCTCACACTATATTACTCAATCTTAGTTCTTTTCTTTTAAAAAAAAAAATTCACTATTACTTTTTTCTTATTTTCTTAGTTTTTTTTTTAATTTTTACTCTTATTGTTTAAAATGTATTTCTTCAATTATTTGTTTCTCATTAAAATTCTAATCAAATAAATTTTTTGATATAATTTTATTTGTTAATAAAATTTTAGAACGTCGGTGTTTATTTAAATATATTATTATAACTTATGCAATAAATTATTTTTATGCTTTTAAATTAGTGTTTTATTTTTTAAAATATATTATTGTAATTTATATATATATATATATATATATATATATATAGAGAGAGAGAGAGAGAGAGAGAGAGAGAGAGAGAGAGAGAGAGAATGAAGAGGGTACTGTTCATCCGAGCAATATAATTTTTTTTTCTTACTTTTGCTTTACGCTCAACTATACTACTCAATCTTGGTTTTTTTCCCTTCTTTTTTAATTTTCACTTTTACTTATTTTCTTAGTTTAAAAAAAAATTAAATTATTTCGTGTTTATTTTTTTCACCCTTAGCTTTTTTCATAGGTTTTTTTTCAAAATTTCAAATTATTTCATTCTAATCCTTAAAATTTTAAAATAAAAATTTTAATCCCTAGATTATGCACTATATGTCTTTTTTTTCTTTGTTTTTTTTTTTTTTTTTTTTGTCAATTTATGTTCTTTCTTTTATTTGATTGAGGGTTAAAATTTTTAAAAATCGATCATTCTTTTTTTCACATTGGTCGATGATTTACTTTACCTTCACACCATACTACTCAATCTTAGTTTTTGTTTTCTTTGTTTTTTTTTTTAATTTTTACTCTTATTTTTTAAAATTTATTTCTTCAATTATTTGTTTCTTATTAAAATTATAATCAAATTAATTTTTTGATATAATTTTATTTGTTAATAAAATTTCAGAACATCGGTTTTTTAAATATGTTATTATAATTTATAAATTCGATATATATATATATATATATATATATATATATATATATATATATATATATATAGAGAGAGAGAGAGAGAGAGAGAGAGAGAGAGAGAGAGAGAGAGAGAGAGTATATTTTAAATAGTTTGGCTTAATTTTTTAAAAAAAATTAATAATCGATTAGAAACTCATAAATTTTATTTTCTATTTTATATATATTTATTCAGAATTTATTAGAATCAATTTTATTATAGTTTTTATTTTAATCTATTGACTTCAATATATTTCATGCAATTTAACGAGCCTCGGTCTTTTTCTTTTTTTCTTCATATGTATATGTATATGTATATGTATATGTATATATGTATATGTATATGTATATGTATATGTATATGTATTATCATGGAATTAGTCGTGAAAAATATATAAAATAAATCGTTATTTTTTTTAGTTTTACATACAGTTTAAAGATGATAAAATATATATGATATTTTTTATGATTTTAGTTTGAACATATATATCTGATTATATTACTTTTATTGTTTAA